GAGAGGGGGGAGGGGAGGAAGGAAGGAGGAGGGTGGGAGAGGGAGGAGGAAGAGGGGGGGAGGGGAAGAAGGAAGGAGGAGGATGGGAGAGGGAGGAGGAAGAGGGGGGGAGGGGAGGAAGGAAGGAGGAGGATGGGAGAGGGAGGAGGGAGAGGGTGGGAGGGGAGGAAGGAAGGAGGAGGATGGGAGAGGGAGGAGGGAGAGGGGGGGAGGGGAGGAAGGAAGGAGGAGGGTGAGAAAGGGAGGAGGGAGAGGGGGGGGAGGGGAAGAAGGAAGGAGGAGGGTGGGAGAGGGAGGAGGGAGAGGGGCGTAGAGAGGGGGAGGAAGAGAGAGGGGAGCGGATAGCAGCTGCCCTTTCGCCTTCTAAAGGGCTTGAGGCAGAAAGAAAGGAGGAGGGGGGGGGGAAGAGGGAGATTGAGGGAAGGGGTGAAGAGAGAGGAAGTGTGAGGAAGTAAAAGGAAGAGTGAAGATGCATTTAAGAAAGAACAGGAGAGAGAGGAAGAGAAAGAGAAGGAGAGCAAGATAGAGTAAGCAACAGAAGGACGAAGAGTGGGGGGATAAAGACAAGATAAAAAAATCTACGAATCCAGGTGGGAGACATCGAAAAGGGGGGAGGAGGGAGAAGGGAGAAAACACGGAGGGGGTGGGGGAGGAAGTCCAAGCTTGTTACTCCACGTCTAAATGGAATAGGTCTCACCCTCCTCCTTCTTCCTCTCCCTCCTTCTCCTTCACCTCCCCTTCCTCCCTGCCCCCACCACGCCCCCCACCACGCCCCCCCCCTAGCCAAAGAGCAAACCAACTAATTAGCTGTGTAGAGGCGTGAGGGGCCGACGAGGGCGTACAGTTGCAACATGACGGAGACATTTACTCGTATACATGCATACACAGAGACGAACGCGCATTGCAGTTATACATACATAGACGTAGATACACACAGATAGCAAGATTATCCACACGCACATGCATTCTCAAAATGTACACATGTACACACACACACACACATGTACACACACGTCAAGAGAGAAAGGTCAGATGGATAAAGTAAAGGAAATGATAATCCGATGCGAAAGAAAATAGAATATAAGGTAAAAGAAAATAAATAGAACATAAAAGGAAGAAATATATGAAGAAATAAGAGAAGAAAGACGACGCCAAAGAAGAAGGAGAAGGAGAGAGAAAGAGAGAAGAAGAGGAAAGAGAGAGAGCAGGGGAAAGGAAGGGGGAGGAGGACGGGAAGGGGAAGGGGAGAGGGGAAAGGGGAAGGGGAGAGGCGCGTGGCTGAGTCCTCGAAGAGGTGAGCCAAAGGGGAGGCGGCAATGCAGTGGTTTAACGGCTAGCGAGAGAGGGGAGAGTAATGGGGCTGCGGCGGGAGAGAGAGAGGGGAGGCAGGCGGAGGACGAGAGAGAGAGAGAGAGAGAGAGAGAGAGAGAGAGGGAGAGAGAGAGGAGAGAGAGAGAGAGAGAGAGAGAGAGAGAGAGAGAGAGAGAGAGAGAGAGAGAGAGAGAGAGAGAGAGAGAGAGAGAGAGAGAGAGAGAGAGGAGAAGAAGAAGAAGAAGAAGAAGAAGAGGATATCCTTATTATCATCATCATTATCTTTATTACCATCATTATCCTTATCGTTATCAATATCATCATTAACACTATCATCCTAAATATAATTAATGTACGTACGTGCATGAATGCAGATAGATCTCTTATAGATATCAAGTAAATCACACACTTGCAGTCAACCAATCTATTTGCCCCAAACCAATCCCCAATCGCGTCAAAACCGCTTACCTTAACATGCTAATACAATTTGAGTTAGACAAAGAAAAGACAATAAGTATATTTTACATTTATTCCGATCTGGCCTTCTGAGAATGACTGCGCTCAGAAGACATGTTTTGGCCGAAGAAGGTTTTGGATTCGCTTTGATTACAAACGCAATCGCATGGCCGTTCGGTCTCTGTCAGGGAAAAGCCTCCAATTGTTATTGTCTCGCGCGCGATTAGAGTCATGGCAAGAATCCGCTTTGAAGGAGGCCTTTCCCTTCAGGCCGCGTGTCATCTTCTCGCGCGGGGAGGAATGACACGTCCGCACATCTCCCTCTCAGTGCCTCCGCCGCAGTAAGCTAAATATCTCCCCTCATACCTTATAGCGAAGACAGGTAGAGGACGACGGCTCCCGAGGTACTTACGTAATAAGGACAGGATTCCTTCCCCCTTTGATGGCGTCCGGGACAATCCTGGGCGGCTTAGGGAGTGGGCGATTCCAGATTCATCCTTCGTCGCAAAGGCTTCCCGGGAAGGACTCGATCGCGAGGCTTGTTGTGGATGCCATAGGTAAGAGGGGGGTGGGGAGGACAGGGGCCCCCGGGGACTCCCAGGGGCCCCCGGGGACTCCCAGGGGCCCCCGGGGACTCCCAGGGGCCCCCGGGGACTCCCAGGGGCCCCCGGGGACTCCCAGGGGCCCCCGGGGACTCCCAGGGGCCCCCGGGGACTCCCAGGGGCCCCCGGGGACTCCCAGGGGCCCCCGGGGACTCCCAGGGGCCCCCGGGGACTCCCAGGGGCCCCCGGGGACTCCCAGGGGCCCCCGGGGACTCCCAGGGGCCCCCGGGGACTCCCAGGGGCCCCCGGGGACTCCCAGGGGCCCCCGGGGACTCCCAGGGGCCCCCGGGGACTCCCAGGGGCCCCCGGGGACTCCCAGGGGCCCCCGGGGACTCCCAGGGGCCCCCGGGGACTCCCAGGGGCCCCCGGGGACTCCCAGGGGCCCCCGGGGACTCCCAGGGGCCCCCGGGGACTCCCAGGGGCCCCCGGGGACTCCCAGGGGCCCCCGGGGACTCCCAGGGGCCCCCGGGGACTCCCAGGGGCCCCCGGGGACTCCCAGGGGCCCCCGGGGACTCCCAGGGGCCCCCGGGGACTCCCAGGGGCCCCCGGGGACTCCCAGGGGCCCCCGGGGACTCCCAGGGGCCCCCGGGGACTCCCAGGGGCCCCCAGGGACTCCCAGGGGCCCCCGGGGACTCCCAGGGGCCTCGGAGACAGGGATGGGCGCTTTCCCTCGGGTCAACATCAGCAAAGGTCTTGTCAACACCTGCAGGCAGCGACACTACAGCTCTGATGAGAGAGGGAGAGGAGAGAGGAGAGAGAGAGAGAGGAGGGAGAGGAGGGAGAGGAGGAGGGAGAGGAGGAGGGAGAGGAGGAGAGAGAGAGAGACAGACAGACAGACAGACAGACAGACAGACAGACAGGACAGACAGAGAGAGAGAGAGAGAGGAGGGAGAGGAGGAGGGAGAGGAGGGAGAGGAGGGAGAGGAGGAGAGAGAGAGGAGAGAGAGAGAGAGAGAGAGAGAGAGAGAGAGAGAGAGAGAGAGAGAGAGAGAGAGAGAGAGAGAGAGAGAGAGAGAGAGAGAGAGACAGACAGACAGACAGACAGACAGAGAGAGAGAGAGAGAGAGAGAGAGAGAGAGAGAGAGACAGACAGACAGACAGACAGACAGAGAGAGAGAGAGGAGAGAGAGAGAGAGAGGAAGAGAGAGAGAGAGAGACAGAGAGAGAGAGAGAGAGACGAGACGAGAGAGAGAAGAGAGAGAGACAGACAGACCAGACAGAGAGAGAGAGAGAGAGGAGAGAGAGAGAGAGAGGAGAGATGAGAGAGAGAGACGAGAGAGAGAGAGAGAGAGAGAGAGAGAGACAGACAGACAGACAGGACAGAGAGAGAGAGAGAGAGAGAGAGAGAGAGAGAGAGAGAGAGAGAGAGAGAAAATGATAGATAGGTAGATAGAGAGACAGAGAGAGAGATAGACAGATAAATAAATAGATAGACAGATAGATAGATAGATAGATAGATAGATAGATAGATAGATAGATAGACAGACAGACAGATAGATAGATAGATAGAGAAAGAGAGAGAGAGACAGAGAGAGAGAGGGAAAGGCGAAAGGCATGTCAGGAAGAAGAGGATTAGGGAGAACCGCGATAGCTTAGACGAGAGATTTGAAGAATATGAGAAGATAAAGATAGGGTCAAGAGAAAGGTCGAATAAACCCAGAGATAGTCCAGTGCGAGGGGAGAGTGCGAGGGAGAGTGAGAGAAGGTATGTCAACGGAGAAAGGAAGGGGAAGGAAAAAGGGAAAGTTTTAGGGGAGAGAGAGGAAACAGAGGAGGAGGGAGAGGAGGGAGAGGAGGAGGGAGAGGAGGAGGAGGGAAGGGGACACGAGGGGAAGGAGGAAGAGGAAACTGGAGGAGAAAAGGGTGAAGGAGAGAGGGAGGAAGAGAGGGGGAAGTGGCGTTGGAGAGAGCTTGATAAAGATCTGTAAACACCTCTAGGCGGCAAACTATGTTGTGAGGACTTCGAAGGAGGGAGGGAGAGAGAGAACGGTGGAAGAAAGAGGGAAGAAAAGCAAAAGAAGAAGAGGTCGCGAGGGGAAAGCGAGGATTAGCGGCCGGAGGAGATGTATGAGAGATGCAGTGAGGGGAGACAGATTGCTGCCAGACCGAGGGGAACTGAGAGACCCGGGAAGATATGAGCATCTCCAGGCGAAGCTATTAATGGCATCATCTGATTGTCGACAGATTTCGAGTCTCTGCGGGATTGCGTTCCTCTCCTTATGCTTCTTTCCGTGTTTTATCCTCTTCCCCCCCCTCCCTTCCACGGCCTTTTAGGTTTTCATCTTTTTCGTCTTCTGTGTCGTCTTCTTCTTGTTCTTCCTCTTCTGTCTTCGTCTTCTAATTGTTCTCCGTGTGCTTGAATCTTTCTGTCCATTGTTTTTACTTCTTCTTTTTCTACTTATTCTACATCTTTTTTTTCGCTTTCTTCTTATTCTCCACCTCTTCCTTTTTCTCCTTTTTCCCTCTTTTTTTCCATCCTCCTAAACTTCCACTTCCTCCTCTCCCTCCCTCTTCCTTCCTGTTCTTCCCTCCTCCTCCTCCTCCTCCTCCTCCTTCTTCTTCCTCACCTTTCTTCTCCCCCCCCCCCCACACACACACCCCACCCCAAGGAATGTCGCAAATTTACAAAGCGACCGTGTTTAAGTTATCGGGGTCACAGCTGGCTTACTGACGGGCGTACGAGGTCGGTCAAGGTCACCCACGCGCACCTGTCAACAGCAAATGCAAGAATGCGCGTCGACTCGGTTTCTCATTCCTCCTTTTCGCTTCCTTTGTGTGTTGTTTACTGGTCTTGTCATTTTCTCTATCCTTCTGTTGTTTTGTCTGTCTGTCTCTTCACACACACACACACACACACACACACACACACACACACACACACACACACACACACACACACACACACACACACACACACACACACACACACACATAGACACACACATACACACACAAACACGCACATATATCTTACGCACATAGGCACGCACACACATTTCCTCGTAAGTGCCCGCGCGTGTGTGTGTGCATACGCAATAATATACATGTGTACAACGAGAGTTTATTCCAGTGTCGAAGCCGTCTGTTAACTTCAAGTGTCTTATGAATAATGTTGAACTAAAACTTCCGACAACTTCTCGCGGATATGTGGATTCCCTTTGCATTTCGCTCATCTCATAGGAATTACTTAGTCCACTGCAGTCGTAAAAGAAAAGGTAAAAGAAAAAAAAAGGGAAAGCAAAAAAAAGAAGAGAGAGAAAAAAGAAGAAAAGGAGGAAATGAAAGAATGAAAGAACTTTTGTATTCCTATTATCTTGCCCTCTGTCTGCCTCCCCCTGTTCTTCTCATTTCTTATTTCTCCCTAATTCGGGTTTCCATTTTACTCTTGTGTCCATCCTTTTCAATATTTTTTTGTCTTCCTCTCTAACCATTTTCACGACCTTTATTTCTTCCCCAAACGCTCACTTCTCTCTTTCCATTTTCAAGATTAGTACATCTCCCCTCTCTTCCCCTCTCTCATTCTTTTTTAGTCACTTTGCTCTACAATATTTAACGTTTTTTTTTTAGTTTTTTTAAGCATTTTGTGTTTAGGGGGACGAAGAGAAGGGAGTTATTTGCAGACTTACTGATAAAGATTTTTTTTTTTTTTTTTTTTTTTTTTTGTAAATGATTGGATCTCGCTATGTTCTTTTTTTTGTTCATTATGATTATAATGCCTCTGAATTCTTTTTAATCCTTTTCATGTCCTTCTTATCCTGTTCGGTACTCCAGTTATCAGGTTTCTTTTTAACCTTTTCTTTTCCTATCGCCTCTTGCCTCTCCTATCCATCCTTTTCTCTTCCACCCTACGCCTTTCTTCCCGATAATTTCATCCACTTCCTATCATCCCTATCACCCTCTCTCTTACTGCCTCCCCCCCCCCTCCTTCTCTTTCTCTTTCTCTCTCTCCCCCCCTTCGCCTTCTCCCCTATTCTCAGGGTGCCTTGCCCAGGAACATCAAAGCGGACTCAGTAATCGCTGGAAGTTGGTAGTGGACGATGCAACGTAACTCCTTTATACGGACCGGCCGTCTAGAGCGTCCCCTTTGCCGTCCTTCTCTCTCTCTCTCTCTCTCTCTCTCTCTCTCTCTCTCTCTCTCTGTTGGATTTCTTCTCTCCTCTATTCTGTTTACTCTAAATCCCTCTTTCTTCTCTCTCTCTCTCTTACACGTAAACACTATCCCCTTCGCACTCTTCTGCCCATATTCTACTCTACTCCACCCCCTTCTCTTTATCTCTCATCCACCCCCTCCCTCCCTCATTCTCTCTCTCTCTCTCTCCCCCTCCCTCATTCTCTCTCTCTGACGCCCACTCCTTCCCCCTCTCTCGCCCACTCCCTCCTCTCTCTCTCTCCCCATCCCTGATTCTCTCTCTCTCTCGCCCACTCCCCCCTCTCTTTAGCCCACTCCTCTCTCTCTCTCTGTCTCTCCCTCTCTCTCTCTCTCTCTCTCGTCCACCCCCCCCCCCCTCTCATCTCTACCTAGGGTGGGTGGGTTCGCCCAGTCACGCCTCCCTCTCTCCGAACCGGCTCCCGTAGTCCCTCGCCCGCTAACGTATTCCCCTCTCGTGGCTGGACCGGACTAATGCAGACGGACTTTCTCTACGGGGAAAGTAGGGGGGGGGGGGGGACGTGGGGGCTAGGGGCGGGGAGAGGGGGAGGGAAGGAAGGGGGGGAAATGAGGGGTAGGTGGACATGAGGCAGGGGCGGGGAGGGAGGGAAGGAAGAAGGGGAAATGAGGGGAAGTGGACATAGGGCAGGGGTGGGGAGGGAAGGAGGTGGGGGTAGACACGAGTCAGGCGGTATGGGGGGAGGGGGGAGGGAGAGAAGGAAGGAGGGGAGGTGGACACGGGGCAGGGGGGGAAGGGGGAAAGTGGGAAAGAGGCAGGGAGAAGGGGTGGGAGGGAAGCAAGGAGGGAAGAAAAGTCCGGAGAAAGGAGGGAGAGAAGAAAAGTGAAATAGAGAGAGGAGGGAGTGAGGGAGGGAAAGAGGAAGAGAAGAAGGGAAGGCGATGGTCTTGTTCTACGTACGCTCGCGTCCGTGGCACGTCCGTAATGAGGTGTAATCTGATGTTATTATTGAAGGGAGAACATTAAGACAAACCCGCCGACATAATCTCTTACTGATATTCAGCCATGCATCATTCAATACTGTTGCCTCCATTACACAGCTCTGGAGGCGGATGCGTCCAGAGAGAAAGAGGTAGAGCTAGAGAGAGATAGATAGATAGAGAGAGAGATAGAGAGAAAGAGAGAGAAAGAGAGAGAGAGAGAGAGATAGAGAGAGAGAGAGATAGAGAGAGAGAGAGAGAGAGAGAGAGAGAGAGAGAGAGAGAGAGAGAGACGAGAGATAGAGATAGATAGATAGATAGTGAGAAAGAAAACGAGAGCGAGCGAGCGAGCAAGCGAGAGAGAGAGAGAGAGAGAGAGAGAGAGAGAGAGAGAGAGAGAGAGAGAGAGAGAGAGAGAGAGAGATAGAGAGAGAGAGAGAGAGCGAGAGAGAGGGGGGGGGGGCTGCAGTAAAGAGGGAGAGGCGAAAGACGAGCAAAGAGGGAGCGGAGGGTCGGGGAAGGAGCGATGGACTTCCTCACATCCATAATCTGCTAAGAGACCTTAAACTACATACAACAAATTCAGAAACACCCACAAGATTAATTGGATTCCACAAACGCTCTCTAGATTGGTTTCATGAATCTACATCCGTGTCGAAGGCGGGCCCGAACACCCCGCCAAACTATTAATATATAAACACAAGAACGATCTCCATTGGAAACCAAAATACATTCACGATGGACGGCGGACTCCAACGCCAACGGCTATAATAAACTTGTAACACGTTCCAAATGCTCAAGCCTATCTGGATGCCACTCTGATCACCTGAAATAATTCCCATGATTCCTAGAGTTGTCCAGAGGGTCTAAACCCACTGCTTCTTGGGGGAAATTCTGCCTCGGCTCCTCCCACATGTCCAGAAGCCCCGCCCCCCGCCCGCCACCGCGCATGCCCGCTCCAGCTTGCAGTTGCTTCCGCTTGCATTTCGGCCGAGCGGCAGTTCCAGCGCTCTTCGTCGCCGCTCGCCGAGGAGGGGAAACTCGAAATTCATGCCTGCTCTTAAATAGTCTACGGCAGGTCGTTAGGGGGAAAAATGGTCACATTATCCCCGCAAGAAATGCTCTTTTTTTCCTCCCCCTCCTCCCCCCCGCTGCCCCTCCTCCGTCCATCAGAAGTTGGTCATTTTTCGCCTCCTGCGTTCGCTCGGACTGACACGGAGCCGCGCTGACCGCTCCGTGAGATATTCTCGGGGACTCTGGTAACGGCGACACCACTGCGCATATGCAGTCACGGTGAGTTCCCAAGATCAACTGAAGAATGCACCAAGTTTTTTTTTTCTTTCGGTCTTCCTTCCCCCCCTCCCTCTCTCCCCCCTCCCGACGCCTGTAGTTAGTAGCGCGTCGGACAGAGGGCAGCACCGGCCTCTGGAAACCCGCCTACTGCACAAACCCGATTGCTTTTTAACTGGATTCTCCCAATGATTTGTCGCCGAGCATCTTATTTCCATTCTTTCAAACTTCGGCCTTTGAGCTTATCCCCTCACTGCCTTTTTCGCGCTCTGACCCCAACGCCTTTTTGAAGCGAGAAATGGCAAGAGAGATTAAGAAGAAGAAAAGAAAAGGAGAGAGAGAGAGAGAGAGAGAGAGAGAGAGAGAGAGAGAGAGAGAGAGAGAGAGAGAGAGAGAGAGAGAGAGAGAGAGAGAGAGAGAACGACCCCCCCAAAAAAAAAAAAGAGAGAGAGAGACCACCCAAACCTAGAAAAAAACAAAACAAAAACAAGACAAACTCAAAACACCCCAAAGACGAAATAATGAAAAAAAGAGGAGCTCGCGAGGCGGCGCAGCACAAGCACAAACTAAACGGCAAACGAGCAGCCTTACCTTAATGGATTGTCACACTCGGACATCTTAATTACAGCTGCGAACGGGACCAGACTCTTAAATTTGTATCTTGCGCGTATTTACGGCACGATATATTGATGCACAATCTTGCAAAGCTCGACATTTAGTGTTGCTCGCGACAATATGGCAAGTTGCAAGCCCGTTTGGCCGATGTCTTTCATTTTCACGTAATCGGAAAGCAGGGATTCGGTTTGAGGGGGGGAGGGGGGAGGTGATGACATCGTTATTGGTGGTGACGATGGGTGGTGACGGTTGATGGGGGGGGGGGTGATGACATCGTTATTGGTAGTGACGGTTGAGGGTGGGGGGGGGAGGTGTGTGATAGTGATTATGGTGATATGATTTTCGGGAGATGGAAGGAGGTGGTGGGGGGGGAGGGGGTGTTGGGAGAGGATAATGAGTGATGGTGAATGTTGATGATGATTGTTGGTGATGATGTCAGAGCGGAGGAGTGATAGTGATGCTTAATCCCATGGTTGGTGTTATTGATGAGATGACAGAGCGTGGTCAAGAGGGGTGGTTGTGGTGAGCGGCCATGCGCAGGTGGTGACATCGTGATGAAAGTTGATTGGGGGGGTGAACTGATGGTGAACGATAACTTATGGAAAGTAAGTCATGTTTTTTTCACTTTCTTACTTAATGT